CTTGGCTGCATTGTCTTTTTTTTGGTGACTCCTATACCCAGATGCAGTGGGCAGGAGTGGTTCAAGTCTTCCTCTGGGAGTGGTAAATGGTATAGCTTTCTGCTCCGCTGTTTGGCACAGTGAGCAGGCTTGCCAAGGAAATGCGTTATAGCATGGTGGAAATGCAAGGGTATGTCAGCTCCATTACCCCTGGTGATGCCAGCTCCCCTGGGAGGTTATGGACTGACTAAGGTGCTGGTTGCACTGGGATCAATGAGATGGATGTAGTGCCAACTCCCATGGTGTCCCACGGGTTGCAAATGATGTCTGAGGGAAACATGACTGCCTGGTCCATGTTTCTAGCAGGCCTCAAATAAGAACAGTGTTCACAAAGCAACCTGATGATATTGCTGAAAATGAGGCTGTTGGAATGAGGTTAATCTCTGAGGAAAAAAATCAGACAATAGAAGGATAAATAAGGACAAGAGCCAGGAGGTCTCATGCAGCCTGGTTGGTGTGTTTGTTTGCTAAAGGGACATTGCGGACCTGAATGTCTCAGGCTGAATGGTGCAGTTAGAAATGGGGCCCAGGCCCCTGGCTACCTACAGAAAACCAGTGGTATTATACCCCTGTCAAGATTAAAGGGGAAAAGAGGGAAATCCAGATTTTTCTGAGGTTCTTAGGTACTGGTACTCACATAACAGTATTTACAGATTAGCTTGGGGTAAAAATTAAACTGATGACATTGGGTGGCTTTGGGGAAAACATGGTGACACATGGTTCTTATCTGCTTGTGGTGCTTACGCATTTGTGGGTGGGGCTGTGAGTCATTTGGAGTGCTGGTGACAGTGGTTCCCACTGCCAAGTGCATTATAGACATTGACATTTTGGCTGCTTGCAATACAGAATGTAACCACTGTCTAGGGGGCATGCTCCCTCACAGCCAATAATCTGAGTCGTACCCAGTGGAGTGAATCGACTTCTGCCCACCTCCTAAGTTGCCCAACCCCCAATAGGTTATTACAAAATAACAAGTGGCTAACAGGACATTACTCTGTGAAATCAGGAAGTGCTCCTGCAGGAATGTTCCAGACTACCCTGTCACAATGTAACATCCCAGTCTGTCTTGTCCAAATGCCTCCAGGCCATGAAGGCTGTGGGTGAACTGAATGCTGGCTGAATGCTAGGGTTTGCTCTTGGTCGCTGAGGTATCAGATATGGTCACTGTCACTGAGACAGTGGCAACCGATACTGGAGATTAGTACACTGCTAGTGACTTGGTTAATGCCTGCTTCTGATGCCCCTTGTGGGATGAGGAGCAAGACCAACTTGGATCCATATGAAACTGTCTGCACTATGTTTTCACTGGTCTTCCTCTAGGATGCTTAGTTCTCCTGCAATATGCCAGCAGTGGTTGGGTGGGACTTGAGCTTCAACAAGCCCAAGTCCCTAGAGAAGGGTTAGTCAGTCATTTCATGGATGGCATCCTGAGAGTAGGGCCTGCTGAAAAACGTAGCACTGATGTAAGAACGGGTACCGGTTGGACTGTAAATCCAGGTGAGGTCCAGGGTCAAGATAACAGATTCTCCAGTTCCTCCTTCCCTGCTCCAGTGGTTGCTGAGCTGCAGGTTTTTCACCAAGATTGTGAGATTTTGGTTTTCAAATCTCCTCACAGCAAGAAACTTCCATGTTCAGCCAAATATATGCTTGAAGAGGTTTATTCTAAGGCCTTGAGAACATGTGTCCAAGACAGTTGAATTTCAGCTTGGTTATATACATCTTAGAAAGACAGAAGTAAGGAAAAAAAGAAAACAGAAGTTACAAAAAAAACCTATAAATCAAAACATGAGATTTATGCTGGATCGGCCTTAGAAGGTGGGACATCTCCAAGTCAGGCTTGCAGGCTATAGGTGGATTCAAAGACTTTTTGATTGGCAGCTAGTAGCAAGAGTTAGACTCTTATCTACGGAATTTTGACATCAGTAAAGGAAATGTTATGGTGTGGTTTTGTGGAAGTTGAGTTTCTTGAAATGTAGATGAAGCGTCATAGGTGGCAGCCCTGAGAAAATAGGTGGCAAAAGTCTAACTCCTCTGTGGATACCCAGGATCAGATTCAAATTTCCCCAAGAGATGGCTATTGTTTTCCTTCTTTATCTGCTATGTGATCTTACGTCAGAGTCAGGGTGGAAAGTAAGCCACATTATAAACTCGTCCAAAGAGGCTTTATGAGTTATAGGGCATGACTCCCCAGTTACCCTTGGTTAGGAATCTGGACAAGATAAAAAAAAAAGATCAGAGTTTACTCCTCACTACTGTGGGGCTGGAGGGTGGGAGATGGTACTAAGGTGAGTTTAAATGCCACAAAGCTCTGTGTTCTTACTGAAATTCTGCAATTAAAAAAAAAACCTCTCCAGGCTTATGTAAGTCTTTGGTTAATTTCTGAAGTTCTGTAAACATTAGTTCTGACAATTTTTGTCAGTTTTCTCATTACTTTTATGTAGGAGAAAATTTTCAGAGGCCTTCACTCTGCCATTTTCACTGATATCATCCCAAATAATTTTTAAAATGTGAAAAAGTTATCATTCTTTACAAGGCATAAGTGTACTTTGACCAGCCTGGCCACCTGCAGAATGTTTTGTATCCAGGGGAGTCTTAGTCTAGCTAGTTAGAAATCAAACTTGTCAGGGAAGGAAAGACCTGTCTGTGGGCTGCAGGAAGAAGTCCAGGGGTGCAGGGGACACAGTATTCAGAGGTGGGCAGTGGACGACTGGGAGGCAGGAGCACCGTTCAGGACCATTGTCAGAGGGCAGCAGGCCCAGTGCAGATGGTTCCAGGTGTGCGTCCCTGTGCCCATCCACCTTGGTTCTGGGGGCTTCAGCCATGGGGGACTCAGGGCTGACCCTATGGCTGTCCAGACAGGGCTGGCCAGTAACTGATGCCTGGTTCCTCTCCAGCACTATCAGGCCATGATTGCTAGTTTTCTACTTGGAATGTCCTTCACTGTCTGGGTAGACATTCCCAATACTCATTCAGCTGTTTCCTGAGATTTAATGACCAATCCTGAGCTCAAAGACCTTTTGTGAGTGTGGGCACTGCTTCCTCCCTTGATTCTTCCTGAAGACACGTGCTGGTTTCCCACAGTCAGCCTTCTTGCAGTCCTGAACTGCAGGATTTCCTTCTACAGTGCCCTGTCGACTGGGGGCAAGAGCAGGTGGAGACAGTGCTGGGTCTGGACTTGATGACAGATGTGGGACAGGGGTCTCGGAATGGCACGTCCCCAGTTTATTACTCTTGGAATTAGAAAGAGTTGAGAACACTAACCCGAATCTCTTCATTTTCACAAGCCCAGTGGGGTCTCCCAGAGAGCAAGAGACAAGGTTTTTTGGAAAGTCTGGAATGTTTCCAGTCCTCGAATGGCCTTTTTGGCCATTCAAGTGACAGCATACGCACTTTTAATTTGAGGGATCAAAGTTCTCAGCCTGGGCAGTCCCATTCTCCTTCTTTATTTCTTGTACCCCATTTTTTGGTAAGTCTTATCTGCATGCACAGACTCAGCTTCCTCCTCTCCCCTCTTCATCCCAGCTCCTTGAGATCAGTCTTCTCCGCCAATGATGATTCTCACCAGGGTGTCAGGAATCTTGCATGCAGCCCCATTGGCCCTTTCTCCATACCTGTCTTTCTCAAGTGTCTCATCAGTTGACACTTGGCATGAATTTGTCCTTCCTTCTACCCTTCCCCTGTCATTTCTGTCCTTCCTTTGCTTAGAGAACCGAAAAGAAGCCAGTGTGTTTCTTTTTCTCTAGGAAAACAAAAGAAGGACTCCAGGTGACTTGTGTGCCCATCAGCTTCCTGTCTTCTCCTTGGGGTGTCCCAGGCAATTCCAGAGTGGTCACAATTCAAGGCATTCTCTTCCTGCTGGAATCAGTTCATCCTCCCATCTCCCAGCTATCTTTGGACTCCCTGCCCTGAGACCTGATGGGAGCCTCAGTCCCTCACCTACAACTTTCCAAGTTCACCTTCCAAACATCTCTCAAAGCTTCCATTTTCACTCCTGGCATGGCAACCTTGTGTGTAATCATCTGTTCCCGGAGCACCACTACCCCAACCTCCTTGTCCCGCCTTCCTAAGAACACCCAGACAAGCACTCTGAAATCCACACACAGCTGAACGCCTCTCTGCCCAAGGCCATTGAGGTCTACAATGCAGGGGGGAGATCCCCAACTCGGCTTCACAGCCCCAAGCACCCAGGCCAGGGCTCTTCCAAGCCCAGGGGCCCTCAAGGGAAGGTGAAGAATGACAGGCTCCGGTGCAGAAGAGTCATTTTATTGGGGGAGGAACACGGGATGTTACACATGCCTGGCAAAGGAGGGGAGCTGGTTCCTTGGGCAGAAGGCAGCCATATCATCTTCCAGCATGGGGTCCGTCTCTGTGAGCCCTGGGAAACTGCACAGGCGAGAATGATTGGGCGGCAAGGAGTGGCTCTGTTGGAGGAAGATCCCGATCAGGATGGGGACTTGAGGTCACTGAGTCTTACTGGTGCTGGCTCCTTGTCAGACCCACCCTCCAGAGGAGCAGGAGGAGGCTGAGACCTTGGGCAAGAGTCATGTCTTAGTCACAAGGACAGCCCTGGCCTGGGGCTGGGGGCTCCTCGTGTGTGTGTTTGAATGAGTGTATCCACGTGTACTTGTGTGTGGTGAGTCTTCATGTGTATGTGTATGAGTGTGCTGGCGTGAGAATGCATGCATCTGAATCAGTGACCCTGTGTTTGTCTGGGCATTTTAGTGTGCGTTCATGCCAATGTGTGTTTCTCTTTGTAGTTGTGTTGCTATGCTGCTGATATCTCTCCACCTTGTCAGCTTTTCTGTGGACTTCTCTGCATCTCTGTGTGTGTCACTTTCTTTGGATGCCATTGTTCCAAGCCCCTTGCTGCCCTCCACTAAAAGGACAGCCGGTCTCCAAAATCCTGGGAGCAAGGAGCAGTACTCACCAGCCCACAGAAGCCAGGCCCCTTCCAGGAAGGCCTAGACCTTGATGACAAATGTTAGTCCGGGGATCAGCATAGCTGGAAAATTAAACAGACTAGTCATGATCTCGATGTGAAGAAGTTGGGAACAGCCTAGACTCCCCGAGGTGGGGGACTCTGGAAATCCAGCCATACCCAGTGGGGCTTGGGAGGGCCAGGCCTCCTTCCACCAGCCAGCCCAGCTACTGAGTGTTAGGGTGGGCAGGGGAGACAGGGTCTCTATCTCAAAACTGTCTGAGAATTCACGGGGGGGAAAAGAAACCTGAAATGGGAGAGTTGAGGTTGGAGGGACCCAGCTGTCCTGTAACATGCAGGGACAAACTCCCTGGGGGAAATCTCTGCCCTGCAGAGGGGGAGGAAAGCTTGGAAGTGGGTACTTACCAGCAATGTCATGCACCAGGGTGACATCCAAGTGGCTGAGAATCCCATTGAGCAGAGGGCACACCTGAGCCGGGGCAGAGAGGTGAGGTGAGCAAAGGGGCCCCTGTCAGAGATCCCGGGAGCAGAAGCAACCCCAGGAGAGATTCTCTAGGGAGATCTTCTATCCTTGTTCTGTGTCTGAAAGTGTTGGATTCCAAACAATCCCACAGATGAGTGGTCACCATGCACATTAGGCAGCAGGAGAACCTGGAGGCATGAAAGGTGCTGGGAAGTGCCCTGAATCACACTGGCCCAGAGTTTACTCTGTGATGTCATGTCTGACTCCAAGTAGTGGGGAGTGCTCCAGTTATGGGAGACACGCTCGCATAGGCTCGATGACTGTCTATTGCCATAGAAGCCTGGACAGGGACTTCCAGGATGGGGTGAGCCCATCTCAGCTCCAGTGTGGACAGGCACAGGGCCTGGCCCAGAGCAGAAACCAATTAATGCATTTGGAAGGATGGAAAGAACCAAGGACAGATGAATCCAGGGGTTCCATGGGTGCAATCTACCTATCAAGCTGAGGGGCTCAGACCTGCTCGCCCTGGGCTCTCTCTCAGCCTGAGAAGCTCTAGGACCCAAAGGTCCGATCCCCTTTTGTCTGCTTACCTTGCCCTGCACCAGCTCAGGAAGTACTTTATCCAGGACTGCTGTGATGCTGTTAACAAAGTTTTGAACGGGGAGGGGAACAAACCTGAAAGAGAAACACCGTGGGGTGATGCAGAGGCCTGGGGTTGATATGGAGAAGACTCTGAGGGCCCACTGTGCACCCCACATTCTCAACATTCAGTGATGGAACCAGGCCTTGTCCCTCCACACCTGTGTTCAGGCAAGCAGCCAGGGTCCTGTCTAAAGGGAGTTACGCCACACATAGCAGTGCACACACAGGTGTGTGTAGAGTGAACACATGGTTTTTGGACACAGTAGGTGTCAATAAGACTCTGGAGAATCTATGAATGAATGAACAGGGCTTCGTATGCAGTTGTCATGAGGATTCAGTGAGACGGTATAGGTGAAGCACAGTACATGTGCTCAGCAAAGATGACCCATGACGTGGACAGCCTATTATGTCTCATACCTATTATGTCTCTCAGCGTGTCAGGTAACTGAAATAAGCGACATAGGTAGGTTCCATATCTTTTAGCCCTTTCACGCCTATCATCTCGGTGGAGTCCGCTGATAACTCCAATGTGGTTCCACGATACAGATAAGTAAGCCAGGGTCTAAGTTCAAGAAGCACCACACACAGGAAGCCCTCTGTCTCTCCCAGCCTCCTGTAATAAGTGGAATTTAAACCCAGATTTTTTGCTGCCAAGCCCAGCACATGAGGCAGCAGGAGAAACTGAAGGCATGAGAGGTGCTGGGAAGTGCCCCAAATCACACTTGGTCAGATGGGGCTAAGAAGGGACAAGTGACTATTTACCCAACCGTCTATCCATCCATTTGTCCACACATCTATTCTTTCGTCCTTTCCTCCATTCACTGTACCAGCTAACCACCCATCTGTCTGTCCATCCAGTCATCCATCCACCCAGCCATTCCTTTGTCCATCCATCCATCCATCCACCCGTCCACCCATCCACCCAGCCCTCCACCTTCCCTCCTTCCCACGCATCTTTCCACCCTTCCATCAGCTCACTCATTCCTTCTCCCATTGTCCCATCCTTCCAATCATACATTCCGTCATCACACACTGCTGCCTCCAGGTAGAAGAGACTACCCCTATGGTCTCACCTATTAAGCAGGGAGATTTTCAGGCTGCCAGGGGAGTGGGTGCAGTCACCAAGGACCAAGTGGACTCTCTCCTGCTCATCTCTCACAGCTAAGATTTCTGCAGTGATGTTCAGCTTTACAGCCAGCTCCAATACATTTCCGATCAGGGGCCTGCAGAGGAGATGACTCTGCTGCTGTCTGGCCCCACCACATTTCAAGGCAGAGAGTTTTCTTCTCCTTGCCAGAAATGCCAGCCTCACCCCACTGCGCTTCTCCCACAGTTGTACCTATCTCATTTTCCAGTAGGAGAAACCAAGGCTCGTTTCCCAAGTGACCCAAGGTCCCTAGCACAGCAGCAAGGGAGCTGAAGTCAGAGGTTTGGTCTGTTGACTCCAGCACACCCTCTCGGCTGCCCACAGTATTGGGGTCTCCTTTGGGGAGCCAGCCTCCCATCCCCTTTTGAGATCCACTCACGTATTCACTTGGAGGGTCAAGCCGAGAGGGATGGTGACATACAGACGATGGCCATTAGGGCTCTGCACGAGGCCGAGTTCCAGCAGCTGGGGGTTAGTGACCTTAATACTGTCCAGGAGCAACAGAGGAAGGAGAAGAAGCGTTAGCTCCTCTAGCTTCAAACACAGAACCACCTTAAACCCACCTCCCCCATGCCAGAGGCGGAGCTTCCCGCCTGGGAGGTGGAGACAGGAGGGGAGTCTAGCAGTCAAAGCCACATGGGTTCTGAGTCACATGCCAGCCGTTCCCAGCCTCTGCCCTGGACCAGATCAGACACTCACAGGGCCCTAGTCTGTAAGGCATTCCAGCAGAGGGACGGTGTCTGGACTATGTCTGCGTCCAGTATGCCAGCTGAGAGCCTTGCAGAGAAAGAGGCTGTGCCATATTGGGTGACTGTGTGGACTGATGGGTAGATGGTTATGTGGGTGACAGGATGGAAGAGTAAGTGCTCAGACAGAAGGGAGGAGGGATGAACGGGGGGCAAGACCGGCCAGCAGACGAAGGGATGATGTGTGGACAACTGAAGTAAATCTGCACTAACACTAGCAGAGAGGAGTCCCTCATGCCGCCAGGGCCTTTGCTGGCAGGTCAGTCACCAGCGCTTCTCATGGGCACCGTGGTGCGGGAGGTCCGGGAGAATGCAGGAGAGTGGAAGGAGGCTCTCCTCTGAGCCAGCCCCTTGCTGGGTGACCTGCATCTCTCTTTCCCAGCCTTCCCAAGAGTCTTTCTCTGTGGGCACTCTAATCCCCATCTTACCGCCGGAGAACCCAAGCACAGAGAGCGAGGGCGTCTTGACCCAGGTCATCATCGAGTACGTGGTACATCAAACTCAAGAAGACCGTCTATCTCCCAGCCAGGGAGCGGGCACCCGGGTGAGGGGGAATCTTGGAAATGGCCTTGATCCTGCCCTACCAAGGGCCAGACCCAGGCTCTGCCAGCTGTCCACTACTGTGTCCCACAAGAGACACCACGTCTGGCCTCTTCACGGGCATCACAGTGTTCTTAGTCACACTGATGATATAACGGAGGAGGCAGCTTACAGACTCTTGCTTATGTCAAAGGCCATCTGTGTGTTAATGGAGTCCCCAGGTGGGGAGAGAAAAATGGCCATGCCGCGGCAGGAGAAACCTTGACAGATGACCATGTGCCGGTAAGTGAGAGTCAGAGTCCTCACATAGCCTCTCTAGCTGTGTGAGCACTGGCATCTCTCTGTGCCTTGATTTCCCCATTTGTAAACTGGGGGTTATGAAGTTACCTCAAAGGGTCACCATGAGGATTACAGAGGGTCCTGGGGCCCCGGTGTCTCCCGCCAGATGGGGGCTGGGTCTCAGGACTGAGACCTGGCTCCACCTCAGCCACACCCTCCTTCCTCAGGGTCACTGCCTGGGGCTGGCAGATCTCCAGCTGGGGTCCCCTGGTGGGGGCCAAGGCCCTGTTTTGGGGCAACTCACTCAATGAGGCTGTTCAGGCCAGGGATCAGTGAAGCCACTTTGCCCAGCAGTCCCCCAAGCAGGCCATCCGTCGTGCCTCCTGCAGTCTTCAGGGTGTCCAAGAGGGGAAGGCCTTCCAGAATACCCAGCAGGTCCCCCGAGAGCAGGCCATTGCTGAGGGCTGGAGATGAGCATAAGGGTCTCTGGGGTGGGTCCGACAATTCCAGACTCTCAGACCCTCTCCCCATGCATCTCTGCCCCTCCCCGCACTGGATGGTTGGACACACTCCCACACACCCCGACAGAGGCTGCCACAGACGCACTTACCACCTGTCAAGCTTCTGGTGAGATCTGTGGGACTCGAGGGCAGGGTCCCATCCAAGGGCAGGACCTGACCCAGGGGCAAGGGCAGGCCGAGCTGGGCTGTGGTCTGGGCCAACAGCCCACAGAAGACAACGAGGCCCCCGGTTGGAAACATCTCTCTCGGTACCTGTGGACACAATGACAGAGCTGCTTGGCACGGATATTGGAGAATTCATTCACCTCCCGCCCATGTCCCTAGGGCAGGGTTTTCCTTTGTCTGTTCCCCAGAACACCAGGGGTTGATGAGCATCAGCATGGCTAAGCAGCTCATTGCACTGGGCAGGAGGCTGGCTCTTCACATCCAGCGACCGATTTCATCTCCAAGACAGGGGCGCTTGCTACCTGCTATGCATGCGCGAGGAAAGAGTGCTCGTGGGTACCCCAAGCTTCCCCCAGGGTCACAGGCACAACCTGGAGAGAGGACTGGAAACCAGGGCCGTGTGACCCAGAGGCTGCTGCTGAATTTAGGGCCATTGGATTTGCCCTCCAGCTGGGCTTGCCCTAATGACTTGAGTCATTGCCCCTGATTCTTGCTCTTCACAGCCTTTGCCACCTCCTTGCGAGGTCCCTTGGCCAGGATTCAGGCCAGATGTCTGTGGACACCCTCACAAGCCATACAATATCAGGGTCACATGGCTGCAGCCACCATCACATGCAGGCCTGTGTTGGGGACATCTTGGCGCCTCACTGCACACAGAGAACCAGAGGACCGGACAGGGGAAGTGACCTTCCCAAGGCCACACAACAAATTGATGGAAGCAGGTCTCCAAGCCCTCCCTTCACCCAACACACTACATATACTGGGTCTTGTCCACACCCCTCTCCTCTCCCTTAAGCTGCTCTGGGTGAGATCCTGGGGCGAGAGCTGAGGTTGGGTTGCCTTCCAGATACCGCATAGCCCCTCGCGGTCCATTCGGCAACCAGCAAAGCTGTCCCCAGCAGGAGCGAGTGCTCATGCTGGAAGACAGCTGGATGCTTTGGTCAAAGCTCCACCCTAGTGATGGTTGGGAGAAACGAAAGGTCTTCCTGGTCCAAAGAGCCAATTGTGCCCTCCCTAGGGAAGTAAACTGACAGGGCCTCTGAATCTCCTTTGGGCAGCCAGCCCTTCGCGGCTCTCTTGGTCTCCTCTCTTCAATGGAAACGAAAGACCCTAGTCCCAGAAAAATGCACCAAAATGTGCGAAACTGTGTGGACAATCTTAGGAGGTTTGTGGATCACCAGTGTCCACGCTGGTCACATCAAGTGGAAACTATTGCCTCAGAGGTTCTGATTCGGGGTATGAATGTGCCCATTTCTAGTTCAGTGTTACCGGTCTCTTGGAGAGCAGAGCAAATGACTATGCCACAGGCCATTCTGTTTCTCATGCAGTCTGCCAGAGCCACCCCGGTGAGGAGTCTGAGGCCCCACTGACAAGGGTGAGGGCTCACCTGGACTTCTCTGAGGCTTCAGTGGCTGTCCCGGTCTCCTCTCTCTCTTGCTCACTTCTGCTGGGGAGGCAGCCTCTTTTATAGCATGGGAATCAGGAAACATGATTATCCAATGATGGGTTTCTAGATAATTCGGAATTCTGCAATCTGGTTGTGTCTTTCAGGGCTCTCCAAAGTAAATAATTGCCAATCACATTAGCAGGTGGGACAGCTAAGCTATTTGGTTGACAAGTTAAACAGAAAAACTTGAGATGGATGTTACTCAAGACTTCATGGTTTGAGAGTTGGGCTGAGGTGGGGGCCCATGACCTCGGGTGGAATGTCAGGAGAGGCTGCAGTCAGGAGAGGCTGCCTCACGTCTCATGCTCTGCACGTCTCACGCTCTCATGCACGTCTCATGCTGCACGTCTCACGCTCTCATGCGTCCCCCTTTTGTGTCCCTGAAAAGTCCTTCCTAAGGTCCTGGATCCGAAGGATCCCGTGTCATCCTGGTCTCTCGTCTCAGCCTTTCTTCTGCCTTCCTCAAATGAGCAATAAGGTGCGGGGGCCTTTGGGGTCTGTTCCACAGAGGGAAAAACAGAGGCACAGGAAGGCCATGGTCCCAGTCTGCTGAGAGTAGCTCTTGCTCTATAAAATCTGACATAAGCAGGAGAGAGAGAAGGAGAAACGCATATGATTAAGCACCCACTACATGCCAGGCACTCTCCACATTTGCACTTCGTCATCAGTAGTGGTTGGTGACGGAGGATCGGAAAGGGTGATGACTTCGGGGGCGCACAGCAAGGGAGCATAGGAGTCACTTCACCCCACCGCGTGGGTCTGACTCCTCGGAAAACAGTGAGCAGCACTGCCTTCCCTCATCCAGGCCTTCCCTTGGCCTGCAAGTGTCCAAGGGGACGGAGCTTTGGACTCAATTATTCACTCAAGGCATTCGGGGGACTCTTCCCACATCTGGTGACAGTCCTTCTCAAAGTGGTTCCGTTTTTATCTCCATCCCACTCTGTGGATTGGGTTGGGTTGCTGCTGTCCTTGGGACATTGAAGCAGGTAAGACAGGGAATTGAGTCAGGTCTGTGCAGCCAGCTCCTGACAAGCTTATTCCCTCTGGCTTGAGGGCGGGTGGGTTTGGGCTAAGAAAACCCATATTCCAACCCTGTGACCCTGGACAAGTCACCCCAGTCCCCTGAGCTTTGACTTCCTGATCTGCAAGAGAGGGAAGGGAGTGTGAGCTTCACAGGGCTCTGGGCACTGCTGCTGGGGGCTGGGGTGAGTCTCTGGGAGTCACTTCAGGGGTTGATTGTTTTCCTGTCTGCAGTTTTAAGTGCCGTTTCAAATGCCATTTTGCTCAGTGGCAGAAACTTCCCCAGTTCCTTCGGGGTCTCATTTCTGTGCCAGGGGCTTTCAGTTGTGCCAAGGAGGCTGCCCTGTCCATTTTCGACTGGCGATACAGAGACATCTATGTGTCATCCGGCCCTAGACTGATGCGACACTCTGATTCCTTCCTGTCTGAAAGCCTCCTTCGGATTTGGCACGGACTTTCCATCTCGTGATAGACAGGCAGAATTGTTCTGCTGTCCCCTGACTTCGAGACATCAGACAGGCCTGTGGGGCTGCCCACGCCCGCTTGCCCAGGCCCACAAAGACCCTCCCATTGACTTCACTCCCTGGGGTCCCATCACCTCCTGGCTCTGAGAGGGGGCCTGGGCACAGACACCGCTGTCCCGAATCCCACACGTCAGCCTGGGGTCCCCGAGAATGGCAAGGCCCCACCCAGCACACTCTCAGAGCACACCAGGACTACACTCTCTTCGGGTCCTCTTGGACTCCCACACCCCCAACCCAGCAGGGGGACTTTTCTAGTCTTGGGGGCAGGAAGCCTAGTTTCAGCTTCGTCACACGTGTGCTATTCTCAAAGTCCTCGAGGGCCTGAGTTTTAAAATTCAAAAGCACAGTCTTTAAAAACAGAAAAAAAAATACAGTGAAATTGGCTTTTTATTTCGGCATACAGTGTCATGAATCTTAATGCATGTATGGTTTTATGTGGTGGTCGTGGTAATCGGGACCTGGAACGGGCCTTCCCTTCCCCCGAAGCACCCTCATAGTCACACCCTCCCCCACCTGCTGGCAACTACCAGTTTGTTCTCTGTCACTACAGTTTTGCCATAAATCCAGGTTTTGAAACTCAGAGGCCTCCTGGTTGCTTCTCCTGAAACTGTCCTTCCTTGGGACCAAAGAAGCTGCACGTCCCATGCCCCAGGAGGGGAAGTGTCCCAGGGCATCAGGAAGCAAGTGGAGGGACACTCTGCTGGCGTCAGGACCGGTGACGTCAGTGCCTCTCAGCATTTCTCAGGAACTGCAGTTGCCCTTATCTCCCTGCTCATCAGAGCGAGATGGCATTTGGGAGCCTTCACTGGCTTTCCTTTGTGGGTCAGGAGATCCGGTGCTAAAGGGCAGAGCTGACTTTCGTTTCCCAAGGGCTCTGACCTATGCAAGGTCCATTCTCCAGACCTTGGGAACGGAATCCAGAGGGAATGCTGGGTTCATCCCCTGGAGGAAGCTCAGTTGGGGACAGAGTCTGAGAGGGTCTTCAGGTGGGCTTGGGGACTCCAGGGATCCCAAGAGGAGGCACTCCAACTTGGATGGGAAAAACAGATGTCCTCAAGCAGAGTTTGCTTCAAGCAAGCTCCTTAACTCGAGGCTAATCTTCCCACTTATGCTGAGAGTGAATAATAATGGCAACCTTTCCTGAGACAGGAGAGCTTTACGCCATCTGCCGCAATCCTGTGGGGGAACTGAGACCTGGGGAGGACCGCCCAGGGAAGGCTGGGAGTGGTGACGTCACGCTGTCACCTGGGGCTGTTCAGCCTCGGCTCACACTTCAGGAGAGCGTTGGCCTCAGTCTCCAGTTCCGAAAGCCCTCGGCGTCTTCCCTGGGGCCTGTTGGCCCTGAAGTTGCACGACTCCGGGTGAGGAGCTTCTCTTCTTTTTTAAAAAGCAGTCAAAACTGGTATCGTGGTTTTGACGCTTCACCGGAGAGCTCCCCTCTGGGCAGGCATGTCAGTAGCACAGCACAGCCGACTGCAGGCACAGCGGCATGGCACGTCTCTGGAATTACCTGCTGCAGACCTCTTGAGCCTCAGTGTCCCCACTTACATCGTGGCGCTAACTACCCCCTCTGCCTGGGTCTGTGAGGGTCACAACTTGGGGAAACAAATGCAGTTCCCAGGCCCATGCCTGGCACAGAGTCGATTCCCTGTAGTGGAAGGGCATGGAAGCTGGACAGCACAAAGGGCAGGCCTGGACCAACGTTCTGAACGCTTGGGGCTGACTTGGGCTTAAGCCCACCCCTGACTGTGGACCCCAGGATCCCAACAGGCGTCCATTGCCCAGCAAGTTCTTCCAGGAGAAAATGAGACGGCCCGCACTCTGTGAACCTTGGCATGAAAGGGCAATGTGGGAAACCTGAGAGGGCCCCTGGGAAGCCCCTGGCTGGCCAGGAGGGTCAGGAGGAGGGCAGGCGAAAGCCGCCTCACCGAGGCCCAGGCCACCTCACAGGAGACAGGCCTGCCCTCCCATGTTTGCTCTTTGACTCAGAGCAGGAAGAACCCCACGATCTCAAAGCCGTCAAGGGGATCGTCCACCTGAACAGGCACTCAGGCTTGTAAATACCCGGTGAAGCCTTTCAGATTAGGGAGCTGGAACTGGAAGATGAGGACGCGAGGTCCTCCCACCCCATTCCTGCCCTGAGCTGCCGGCATTTCCTCGTTAGGGCTTGTCGATCCAGACAAACACAGATTTCATCACTTCCCCTTGTGTGTGTGACAGACTGCTGGAAGGAGGGAAGGGAAGATTGGGGCGGCGGGGGGCGATGGTGTTTCACAGTGGCTGAGAGGGTAAGTTCTGGAGTCTGGCTGCCTGAGCGCTGTCGAAATGGCTCTTTCCTCACTGTGTTACCCTGGACAAGTGACTGTCTCTCTGAGCCTCAGTGTTCTCATGCATAAAATGGGCTAAAGTTTTGCATCTAATAGGGGCGCTAAGGAGGCATTGATGAGATGCTGAATGTGAACTCTAAGTACCAAGTTAGCACATGTGACACGTATGTGCTGTGGTTATGAATACGTGTATGTTATTAATATGTGCATGTTATTTCCCCTGGATTTCTCAGGATGCTTCCCAACTCTTTGCTGGAGGAGGGTGGGAATCAATATTTAATAACTGAATTGCCAAATATTGACAATAAATGAAATTACTTTTGTTAAGTATTTTCCGTGGACCCATCACATGCTAACCATATTGCAAATGGTCTTTCATGGACTTCCCAAGCACCTTGCATGGTACATCTTTTATGTTTAAAATTGTTAAAGTACATTACACACAGAAGTGAATAACTTACTGAGTTTTCACAAACCCAGATCAAGAAACAGAATGTTGCCAGCTCTCTGGAAGTCCCCGGACACCCTTCCAGTTGCTGACCTGTGCTCCCCGGGACCCACTGTCTGGCACGAATTGGTTTTGCTATTTTTTATTTTTTTGAGTTGGAGTCTCACTCCGTCGCCCAGGCTGGAGTGCAGTGGCATGCTCACGGCCACCCCAGCATTGACCTGCTGGGCTCAGGCGATCCTTCCATCTCAGCCTTCCATGTAGCTAGAACTATAGGTGCATGCTACCATACCCAGGTAATTTTTAAAAATTTCTTATAGAGATGAGGTCTTGCCACGTTGCCCGGCTGGTCTCAAACCTGCAGGCTCTGGCAATCCACTTGCCTTGGCCTCCTAAAGTGCTGGGATTATAGGCTGAGCCACCGAGCTTGGCCTCGTCACCCTTTCTTATACCCCCTTGAAACCTAGTCACATTCTTGGCACAGAGTAGGTGCCCAGTAAATATGGGTTGAGTGGCTGAGGGATTGGGAAACCCGCAGGCCCCTCCCTGCACTGAAAACAAAGCCACGGATGGGCTTCTGGCTGCAAAATTTTAGGCCAAGAGTGAGGTTAAATGTTATTTCTGGGACGATGAGCAAACCAAGGAACACATGTTCCCAGGATGGATCCTTCAGCAGGTAGGGACCTAGACATCGGGGCCCAGGCACAGGGACCTGCACCCTTCCGAGCTGGAGTTTATTGTGTGAGAGGATGGAATGTCCACAAGGCCTGGGATGAAGGATTTAGGGAAGCACTTGAGCTCCCCACGTGCAGACTCTCCTTCTGGTCAACAGAAGGCCCAAGGACGGTCCCGGCGAGCATGTGGAGGGCTGGCTGGATTCACGGCCGCCTGAGTCTGTGAGCAGCAGCCTGCCCTGTGGGGAGGAGAAGTAGCGTGAGTCACCAGAGGGCCTTCCTCCCGGCCTGGGCCCGCCAGCAAGGGCAGCTCCACTCTGTGCCTGCCGGCCAAGGGCTGGAGCCAGGCGCATTCACAAGAAAATGCCCTACAAGTGCTATTTCGTTATTCACTCCTTGAAATCTTCCATTTGCTAGACTGTGAGCTCTGTCAAGGCAGGATGGTCACTGGAGTGAAGGTGGTCCCAGGCTGGGCGGGATCAGCGCTCCCTACTAGACTGGACCTCGGGAGGAGTTAGAATATCTGGCCACCTGAAGGTTTGAAAGTGCCGGCAGGGACCAGCCTGCTTGGTGGAGGCTCGTCTGCTGTCCCACTGCTCTTGGTGGACAGTCATGGTCATGATTACATGGCAATTTTTTTTTGAGTTGGAGTCTCACTCTGTTGCCCAGGCTGGAGGGCAGTGGCATGCTCACAGCCACCCCAGCATTGACCTGCTGGGCTCTGGCGATCCTTCCACCTCAGCCTTCCAAGTAGCCAGAACTACAGGTGTGCAATACCATGCCCGGCTAATTATTGATTTATTGTAGAGACGAGGTCTCGCCAATAAATGGTCCAGGCTGGTCTCAAACTTGTGGACTCAGGCAATCCACTCACCTCAGTCTCCCAAAGTGCTGGGATTACAGGCTGAGCCACTGAGCCTGGCCCCATGGTCATTTTTAAATGTCCTCACAGTGTGTGCTGCCAGCCCTCAGCAGGCCCCACCAGGGCCCTGGGGGGCGGGGGTGTGGGTTGGGGAAGTACCTCTTTCAGCAGTTTACCTGTCCTCAGGCACCCCCCCCAATCTGGTGGACCAGACACTCACCCACCAGGCTTTTCAGCAGTTTCACATCCAGCTGCCTGAGGATTTCCCTGGTCAGAGGACACACCTGGGCCACCAGCACAGAGAGAAGGGTCAGACAGGGGCTGGGAAAAGAGATCGGGGCTGCCCGCAGCCACAAGCGTCAGTGCCATGGGGTCTCCAGCAGGAGGCTTGGCGGGAGTTGCACCCTTGTGGTAAGTACCAGTGACCCGCTCAGTGCCACGCGCAGCACTTCCTGCTCTGTCTCCCCGAAGCCTCACGCCACTCCGTGGGAGGGACTGCCGTGGGTCCCACGCCACAGAGGGGAAGTCGAGGCTCGTGATAGCCAAATTTCTCACCCAAGGACACGCTAGCAAAACTGATGGCAGAACTGGAATCCTTAGTTGAGACTTCTCAGGTCCTAGACAAGCTTGCTTGACATCCTTTGCTTACTTGACAAATGATATGCCCTGACCCTGCAGCTCAAGGACGCCAAGGTGCAGATACTTTTAAACCCACCTGACTTTCCACCAGGCGTGGGGTAGCCTTTTCCAGGTTCTCTCTGAGGTTGTGGAGGAAAGGCTTCATCTTTGGTTGAATATTCCTAAGAAGGGGTGGGGGTATGCTACAGAACAGACACATCTGGCAACGTCAGTGCCCAGCCCTGTGCAAGGGGTGCCATTGTCGCCAGGCTGAGGAATGGCTCAGACCTTGCCAAGGTCACACCGAGTGCTGGCTATATTAGGATCACGTCACCAGATGCCACAGCCTGCCCCCTCTGCCCTCCTGTGGATGGGAACCACGGGGGCTTTGGCTTGGGAGCTGGGGCACGGCCAGACTTCCGGGTTAGAAAGTGAGTTCTGCTGCAGGGTGGGAACGAAGGCGGGGTGGGGACGGGCCCCGTCGGGGAAGGCTGGGGAGGCTCCTGCAAGGGTCCAGGTTGTGGACAAGGAGCTGGGTTGACAGAGAGAAGGGGACAGGTGGAGCGCTGCTGGGAGGCTGTTGGTGGGAACCAGTAGTGCTGGGCCTCTGGGAGTGGGAGGGAAGGGCCTGGCTTCCGGGAGAGTGGTGGGGTGGTCACTGGGTGGACATGAAGGAGGGGCAGGTCTGAGGGAGGTGTGAGGTCGCTTTGGAAGCATCCGGGAAGTGGGGGGCACATGCGTTTGCAGCCAGGGCACTCGGGAAAGGGCCCACCCTGGGGTGGGTGGCTGGGGCCTCACTCGGTGAGGACGGCCACGTGGATGCTGCTGGGCTCCATGTGACATTTGCCTATCACGAGGTCCCTCCGGCCAAACTCGTCTTTCTCCAGCCAGAACTCCACAACGAGGCTCATGCGTGCATGCATCCGAATGACATCGTGGAAAGGCCTGTGGATGAGAGGAGGAGGGGTGGGAGGAGGGAAAGAGAGCGTGGGAATCTCCAGGTGGGCAGAGGTGGGCACTGTCCACCATCAGGCTGCTCCAGCACTCTGAGTCCTTTCAACAACTGGACCCAGTTAACTCCTGAAGTCAGTGATTCAGGCCAGAGTGCCTTTTGAAAATCCCTTAAAGATACCCACCAGGCACCTTCAGAAAGTCAAGCATTGTGATTTAATCTCTCTTTTCAAGATCTCCCTTTCAGCTGCGGCCTGCCTCTCTTTGGGAGCAGGGGCTGTCAGTGTCTCCCACAGCAGTCTCCCATTCTCTCTTGAATTGGGCTCGGGGTGAGCTCACACTGCTTTAAGTGAGCAGATGACCTGCCTTCACTGACTAGTGAGTGCCATTGGTAAGCGGAAGGAACCAAGGCTCAGAGAGGTGAAGCCTTGCCCAAGGTCTCTGGACAAGCGAGTTCTGAAGCCAGGATTGGAATTCAGTTTGGGGTCGGAAAGACCTGGATTTCCCAGGCTGCCAAATTCCCCAGCTCCCCGTTCCCTGTGAGGAGGGACCTCTCGATGCCACGACTGTGTAACTCACGGTTTCAGTTCAACATCAAGTCCAAGTGAGAGGCTTGTGGAAAACCACTCCTTCAGGAAAGACATCCGGATGCCGCCGTCATCCAGCTGGATGCTGGTGATGTTTATGCTGCATGGGGAAGTGCCGTGGCCCGCAAGGTGAGAAACCCCGACCAAGCAAGGCCTCATGGGAAACAGGGCCGGCCATCTTTAGAGAGGCCATGGGCTTGGTAAGGGTTCCTGGTGCTCTGTGGTGCAGGAGCCCGGGCCTGAGCTTTCCTGGAGGCCCTGCTGACCCCGCACTGTCTTGTGTGTGGCTAAGCCCCCACTCATCCTCATGCCAGGTCTTCTGTCTTCTTCCCCTTCAGCCTTCCTTCCTTCCCCCTACACCTCGGCCCCTCCACCCTCCTAGCTCTGCTCTTGTCCCAGAGCTCTGTAAAGAGGCCAAAGGCTGGGGATGCTGTTTGGGGTCTCACCTGCCGTCCGGCTGCTGCTGGAGCTTCCTGCCGCTGATGAGCCAGCCCACCAACCCTGGGGCCACCTGCGCCGAGGCGTTCAGGTGGTCCAGGAGGGGGATGCTCTGGATTCGGTCCTCCACGTTGTGCTTTATGAGGCCCTGGGCAATGACTGGAAAGAGGCAAGAGACCAGTGACCACGGGACCATGGATCCACCAGTGACCTCACGTGGTGTCACAGGAAAGGCAGGGCTTGGAGTTAGGAGACTGGGGTTGAGGTCAGTGTACCTTCTTACTGAGGGTTGGACATGTGTCGCCACCTTCCCACATTCTCTGACCGTGCAATTAAGCTTTGCAAGACAGGTGTGAGCATAAGGAAAGCCCCTGCTGAGGGCTGGCAGGCAACGGCTCTCAATGGGGATATTCTGGCTGGAAGTTCTCCTGGCTCTGTCTCCAAGTCTGGAGCACGGAACTCCAGGATGGAGATCGATGTTGGTTGAAGAGAACAACAGGCAAGTAGATACAGGGAGAAGAAATGTAAACCACCCATGTTGAACTTGGAACAACTGCAGGACCCAGTGGAGCTTCCAGCAAAGCAAGAATGAAGCCCCCAAAGGAAGGGAGCTGTAAGAGCTGTGGACGTATTGGAGTCATGCCTTTCTGCTCAGACTCTCCTGCGTGAGACGGGGACCCAGTTCTGACAAACCCCGGAGCTTACCACAGTGCACACACTTCCTGGCCTGGCCCTGAGCTTGGGTCCCACACCGACGACTCCAGGTCATTGCAAGGCAGCAGCTACCAGTCGCAGCAACAAACACACTCACAGCCAAAGAGCTTTCCTTCATGTAAGTCTCAAAAGCAGCTTCTGAACTAACACTGTCACTGCACCATCACAAGGGTCAGGCTATCTGGGCCCACAACAACACACCAATGCAGCTGATAACCTAAATGAAATGGATGCACTTATGGCAAACCATCAAATGCCAAGTTTGAATGAAGGAGAATTGAAAACATCCATAATCAAAGAAATTTCTTAAGAAATAGAAACAGTGATTGAAAATATCATTCTCCCCAAAGCTTCTGACTCAGATGGTTTTATGGAAGAGTTTTACCAAGCTTTTATAAAAAGGAAACTTGAAAGAAAATAGAAAAAGAGAAAGATGTCAGATTTATTCTCTGAGGTTAGTATAACTTGCCTAGACTTGGGATGGTACAGGGAAAGTTTCATGTTAGTTTTATTATAAAAATTTTGTGAAAATCCTAAATAAATTATTAGCCAATAAAATCTAACAGTACACTATAAAACTATCATTTTATTTTAGCAGTGCTAGGGTTGTTCGACAGCAGAAAAATCTATTAAGACGATGTCATTTAATGGATGGAGAAAAAAGTTATGAACTTTTAGATACATTGAAAACATTTGTTAAGGGGCCAACGCTGACTTATAATTAATACAAATTCATAAAACTAGGAACATAAGGCATGGTCTTAATGCAATACAAGTTTTATTCTAAAATTCTATAGGAAAGATCATCCTTCGTGGAGAATTCTAGATACTTTCTTGTTCCTATTGAAGGCTCTGGCTGCAACGCAGGATGAGAAAGAGGCAGGGGAGGTGTAAGGCTTGGAAAAGAAAAAGATAAAACTGTCATTACTTGTAGGTGATGTGATGCTCAAGATAGAAGAATCCTACAGAATAAACAAAACAAGCAATTAGGACTATAAAAAGCCAGCAAGATCTTTGAATATCAGATTAATTTTCAAAAATTAACAGCTTTCCTCTTATCTGTACCAGCAATACCAATTAGAACATATAATAAAAAATTAGAGCCGGGCTCGGTGGCTCAGCCTGTAATCCCGCGCCTTTGGGAGGCTGAGGTGGGTGGATTGCCTGAGCCCGCGGGTTCGAGACCCGCCTGGGTAACTTGGCGAGACCTCATCTCTAAAATAAATAAAAAAATCAGCTGGGCGTGGTAGCGCGCGCCTGTAATTCCGGCTACTCGGAAGGCTGAGGCGGAAGGATCACCAGATCCTCAGTAGGTCGAGGCTGCGGTGGCCGGGAGCGGCCACTGCACTCCAGTCTGGGCGACAGAGTGAGACTCCAACTCAAAAAAAAAAAAAAAAAAAAAAATTAGGTAGCAGTTACTGTGGCACCAAAAACTATAAATCCTCTAGGAATCAATTTAACAAATCATGCTCATGATATTGATAGAACTTTAAGATTCTATTATGAGATCTATAGTAAAATCTGAATAAATTGAAAGCTATACTAAGTTTATGATTGGATGGTCTATCATTGCAGAATTATCAGCTCTCTCTAAATCAACAAACAGATTCAGTGTAATCCCAAACTTCCAGGTGGCATTTTAAAAAAGTAAACTCAAAACACTCTAAAATTTGCTTGGAAGAATAAAGGTCTATCAGAGAAAACATCATTCTCCGAAGATGTTTTAAAATATTGTCTTATTGGTGTAAGAACAGATACACAGATACAGCATAAGGGAGCTCAGAAGTGAATCTTCATATCTGGGAATTTGATCACTTAGTTGAGAGTTGGGGAAATGGACTCATGGTAAGGAGAGAAGCAGAGCGGAATCTCTGCCTCACATAGACAGACATATGTAAAGATGCCACCAGAGGACTGAAATCCTAGATGCTAAAGGAAAAGCCAAAACAAAGAAGGGTCTGCCTGGGGCAGAGGTAAGGTTTGAAGGCTCTCCAATCACACACCACAAGATAAAATATTGATGAGTTTAAAAATATTCCTGTCCAATGGAGGCCCACAGAGCTGATAGATGACAGTTTGGGATATTTGCAATGCTAAAACCTGATGAGGGACTAATGTCAAGAATAAATTGATGTCTCTTTAAATCAAAGAGGATTAAAAAAAATAGGAAAGCAAATATGAAAAGTGGAAAAAGACATGAGCAGGGAATTTAAAGAAGTCAAAATTGTGTACAAAATCCTAATGAGATGCTCAAACTTCCCAGTACTCAGATAAAGCCAAGCTGAGAAAATTTGGTATCTCTCAACTACACATCAAACAGGCAAAACATGATGAAGATGGTGTTATAGAGTGAACTGCATCTCCTTTTCCCCAATATGATTGTATTAGGAGACAGGGACGTTAAGAAAATAATTAAGGCTCGAGGTTATAAGGGTGGGCCCCTAAACTGATAGGACTGGTGTCCTTATTAGAAAAGACACCAGAGATCCCGTTCTCTACATGCAAAGAAAAGGCCACATGAGAATACACTGAGAATGTGGCTATCTGCAAGCCAGCAAGAGCGGCCTCTCCAGAAGCCAACCCTGTTAGACCTTGATCTTGGACTTCCAGCCTCTAGAACTGTGAGAAAGTAAATGTCTGCTATTTAAGCCACCCAATATGCGATGTCTTGTCATGACAGCCCAAGTAAGACAGGAAACTCTCCCGAGTTGGGGCACATGGGAAGACAGAGATGCTGATTTAATATGGGAGCAAGTACAGATTGGCACAGCGCTCTGAGGGGATTTTGGCAGTTTCAGTTGAGTCTTCATCTGTCCTAGGGCCCGGCCATCCTTCTTTGTAGGCATATCCCAGAGAAATTCTCCCACAGGTTCTAACAGGAACATGTACAGGGATATTCATCTTAGTGTAGTTTATAATTAGAGACAACCTAAGTGTCCATCCCTAGGGGAATAGCCAAAAAAACTGGGGTGGATGAATCTTATGGCCTTCTCCGCACCAGCTGAAACAGCATACATATTGACAGCATAGTGTTGAGTTAAAGCAGTAAAAAGAATGAGACATGTATGGCAACGTAATTTGTGTAAATCAAAACACAGCGTCAGCCGGGCTTGGTGGCTCACCCTGTAATCCCGCGCCTTTGGGAGGCTGAGGTGAGTGGATTGCCTGAGCCCGCGGGTTCGAGACCCGCCTGGGCAGCGAGACCTCATCTCTACAATAAATCAAAAAATCAGCCGGGTATGGTAGCGCATGCCTGTAATTCCGGCTACTCGGAAGGCTGAGGCGGAAGGATCGCCGGAGCCCAGCGGGTCGAGGCTGTGTTGGCTGGGAGTGGCCACTGCACTCCAGTCTGAGCGACAGAGTGAGACTCCAACTCAAAAACAAAAAAACAACCCCCCCCCAAAAAAACAGCGTCTTTAAATATATACATTAAACACTCTATAGTGCCTAAAAGACCGTAGGATTGTGGGAGTGAGGATAGAGGGAGAGCCACATAAAATAAGACAAAGGAGGAACCTTGCAGTGATAATGTGCTGTGAGTTTACTGCACTTGAGGTCTAGGAAAAAAGGAAGAAAAGACGACTGACCTGAACTCACCAGCGGGTCAGTGGTGGGCCCAGATGACGCCTTCCCCCCCACCCCATGGACAGCCAGCAAGGCCTGGGGCTTAGCTTACTTCTTGCCAGGGTGGATTTGGTGTCCATGTGGGCCTGGACCAGTCTGGACCAAGGCTGGTTGTACAGTGCTGAGGGCGAAACCAGCAATTCAAGGAGGACGAGGAGCCTCCAGAGTGGACACATCTTGGGGGCTGGGACTTGAGGTGTCAAGAATGGTTAGATGGGGCCCAGGCAGACGGCTGTGAGGGTGGCTGCCCAGATGGATGGGCTCATGGTCTTCGGCTGGAAGATGACACCAGAATTGGCATGCTATGGGCAAGAGGTGCAATGGGCTCTGGCAGCTGCATCCAGGGCTTGCTCACATGATGAGAATGGCAGGTGGAACCCTGGGGGAGGCTGGGGTTCCAGAGGGAAGCCTTGTTGCTTGGAGACTGTCACCAGAGTCCACTGTTGGGTCACTAATAAGAGTCCTCTCTCTCCCAGACCCTGGCACAAGTTGGATGTTGGTGACTTTTCAGTGAACCAATGAATGAATGAGGATGGTTAACCCCAAGCTCTCCAATTGGACTAGAACTTTCTTAGAGATTGATCACTTCAATTGATTGATTGATCACTTCAATTGATTGATCACTTCAATTCCTACTAGGAATTGATCACTTCAATTCCTACTAGGCTGCTTGCTTTCCAGAAATTAAGTGCTGATAAATGTTTGCTGAGTGACTAAATGAATAGACGAGTAAAGATAGCTGATTTCTGAACCCATTCCAAATTATGAGTTTCTTTGTGTGTGTGTGTGTTGGAGTCTCACTCTGTCGCCCAGACTGGAGTGCAGTGGCATGCTCCCGACCAACGCAGCCTCAACCTGCTGGGCTCTGGCGATCCTTCCGCCTCAGCCTTCCAAGTAGCTGGAACTACAGGCGCATGCTACCACGCCCGGCTAATTTTTTTGATTTATTGTAGAGATAAGGTCTAAACAAGTTGCCAGGGTGGGTCTTGAATCTACGGGCTCAGGCAATTCATTCACCTTGGCTTCCCAAAGTGCTGGGATTACAGGCGGAACCACTGAGCCTGGCCCAAATTATGAGCTTCTTGAGGGCAGGGTGTGAGTCCAATGAATCCTCATGTCTATAGCGTCTCCCATGTTTGCCACACGGTAGGTACAAATGAATGTTTGTTAAATGATACAAATGAATGAATGATTGGATGGGTGGATGTGTTATGGCGTGGCTGAAGACCGGGTTCTTGGTGCTATGAAATTGAATGAGACACACAGCAGAAGCAAAGAATTGTTTATTTAGCAAAAGTAACAGGCAACAGTAACCTCCAAAGAAAGGTAGGAGTAGGCTAGAGCTGAAGAGTAGCTCAAGAACCCTGACTCAGACAAGGCTGGGACCTTTTATATTCTTTTTGGTGGGAAAGTGGACTTTGATTTTGCAAAACTTGCAAAAAGAAAACATTTTGACTATTGCTTCTGAGATTAAATGTATTTCCTGGGGAAGGAGTAACATTTCAGGTTGCTGCACATAATTCTGCCTGCTATCCCATAATGTTAATGGTATGCATGAGATGCAGTCCATATGCATTAACCTTAACTAGCTCTTTTGCATGAATATGTTATGAGAACTCGAGGAGGTCCCCTGTGTGCCTGTGCCAGACCTGGGGTATCTCCTTTGTGGACCTTATGGATTTTCTTATCTGGTTTCAGGAGGGGATGTATGTTCTGTCCTGGGATATTGATTAACGTTTGTGTTTCACGGCTTTTTTCCTGCGTTCCCAAGGCTTCTTGACTGTTGAGATTCGCCTTCTATGCGCCACACCCTATCTTCCTGCCCCAGATCGGCTGATCTTGTCTTTCTGAATGAGATTCACAGGAAGGGGATAGAGAGGCTTGAAGCCAAATCATCGGGTGGGGTGGGGATCAGAGATGGTTCATTTCAGATCTCCTGTCCTTACTAGTTCAGGAAAGGGTGCTGCATCTGTCCAGTTGTTCCGATCCAAGCCCTTGGCGGCCCTGGACTCCTCTTTTCCTGTCTCCCACAGCCCATCTGTCAGAGGATCCTGCTGACACTCCCAAAATGTGACCAAGTCTCACGACACCCCCTCGGCCACCACGGCTTGGCCTGTGCATCACAAAGCTGTCCTGGCTGTTTCCTGTCTCCCGACTTCGCCCGCCTACAGCCTCTTTTCCAAACAGCTTCCTGAGCAACCGCTTGAAGGTATGGTCGAACTGAGCCCCTCCATGGCTCAAAGCCCTCCAACATTTCCTACTGCACACTGGGCGAAAGCCACGTTCCACCTGATGCTTTCCAGGCCCAGCAGGGTCCCCCTGAGTCCTCCTGGGCTTCACCTTCTGCTGCTCTCTCCCTCGCCCACTCAACTGCAGCTGCACAGACCTCGGGGTCTGGGACCCATGGTTCTGCCGGTGTGAGCTCGGAGACGGAGGCACTGGTCACTGTCGCTGTGCTACCCTCCCACGCCATGAAAGACGGATGTGCAGGGTCCCACTCGGACGAGGGCTGGGAATACTCTTTCTGAATTTCACAGAAGCCTTGGGACCATTCTTGGGCAACTCACTCTGGTTTTGTAGGAGATTGTCCTGAGGAAGGCTTTGCTCCAGTGCTGACACCATTTGAGATTGTTTTTTTTTCAGAGTTCACGCTCTCCCTGGGAAATGTCGGTAGAATATTGATTACTTTGAAATGTACTTTTCTAACCTTCCTGGTCTGTGTAGCTGGTTGGAATCTTCTTATATTTTGTTAAGAAAGTTGGAGAAGAACGAGCAACCTTTGGAGGACCCAATCTGTTGTCTTCAGCTCTTTGGACGTCTAATGTGGGGTGGGGGCCGTTAGTTGGGCCTCATCATAGACCGAGGTTCTCAGGGCCACAGAGTCTAAGGAAATGGTGACATGAGGGTGCAGACTTTCAGAGCTTGGTGTGTGACAGGGGAGAACAGATCTGGAAGGGTAGGGACAGGATTTGGAGCCAACTTGATGCAGAATCACGTGCAGTTAAGAGCATGTGCTTTGGGGTCGTGCAGACCAGGGTTCAACCACCACCTCTGGGCAGACACAGCTCCCGGGTCTGTGAAGGGATCACTGTGCACGCCTCAGGGCTGTAGTAAGGACTGGAGGGAAGGATGCATGGGCCTGTGCTCGGCAGCTGTGTCTCAGGGAGGCCTTGTTCTGTCCTTATCTCCGAGCCTCTGCTTCCTTAGCTCTAAACCAGGGAAGCCGGCGTGGTAAACGACACCACATACGGAGTCCTGGGAGGGTGCCTGGGACACCTGCCCCGTGGATGAGGGGCCACCCCTCTCGAGCCCTCCTCAAATGGGAGCTGGACTGCAGCCGACTCCAGTGGGTGGGACCACGATGGGAGGCTGCCCGGCAGAAGGGGGACAGCCCTGAAGGGAACTTGTGCAGGGTTGCTCAGACAGTGGCCTCATGTCATTGACTCAATGGAAAAAGCACAAGTGTCATGGCACTCAGTGCCAGGAGCCAAGGCTCTGGGCATCCCGACAGTGGTCAGGCAGGTCTTTGTCCTCATGGCGCTCATATCCCCTTGGGGACACCAGCCATCTCCCACTGTCCCTGCCCCTGAGCACTTGATGAGGAAGTGTGGCTGAGCTGTGAGGAGGCGGAGGTGCCACGGGGACACATGAGGGGGCACTGGCCAAGGGAGAAGGGTCGTCAGGGAAGAGGCCTTCCTGAGGAGGTGGAGTGCAGCTGACACAAGGGAAGAGGCCACAGGTTGGGGCGTTCACATGGTGCCCCCACGGAGGGTGGCAGGCTGCTGGGTCTTTCCTGAGCAATGCTGAGGAGGGGAGGCCTTGCTTGCTGGGCTCATTCTCATTGCTGAGCCTGCTCCATGGGCTCTCATTCCACTCTGATGCCAAATGGGTGAGGGAACAGGACCCAGAGAGGCCAGCGACTGCCGTGCTCCCAGCCAGTGCAGAGCCGGCAGGCATCCTAGGGACAGGCTGAATGCTTTCCATATAATGACAGACTTAAACCTCAGCACAGCCTCTGGCAGCAGGTACTGCTATTATTAGCCTCTTTCCACAGGCACAGGGACTAAAGTGAAATCTCCAAAGCCACCAGCTGGGGAGGGACCTGCAGGAGTGAGCTCAGAGGCCCCGTCACTCACCTCAATCAGCTTCCCCCCTCACACCCCTCTCTGCTCCCCAGCGAGGTCCTTATCCCCACCCCAGCCACAGGCACTGCACGGAGAGGCAGGGAGGACTGTAGCCACAGATTCGGATTGAGCCCTGGCTCTGAAGTCACTTGTCCAGGGACACACAGATGGTAGATGTGGGGCTAGGATTTGAACCTGGGCCACCAGGCTCTATCTTGTTTCTGAGTAAATTCACTCCTGGGCCTTTGCCCTTCATCCCAGGCTCTGCAAGCCTGTTCTGCCCAGTGTTCTTTCTGTTCATATTCTATGGGGGCCACAAAAACTCCTTGGAACATGCCTGGCAAATATCAGAGGTTTCAGTGAGCTGGAGTTGATCTCACTATAACCGTGAGCACTCTGGACCTCAAGGGGGCCCGAATGGACCCCAGCAAGCCTAGGGTCTTACCTAGCAGAGGGTCCTGGGGAAAGGAGAGAGGCAGATTGCCAGCAAGGACCATGGCACAGAGCCTCGTGTGGAGCGTTCCAGGCAGTTTCAGACCTGAGGATGGAGCAAGCTCAGTATGTAGGGCAGAACAAGAGAGCCAGTGTGGCCGGAGCAAGTGGACAGGGCAGGAGTGGTGGGCCACAGGGCCAGAAACGTGCATGCCAACACATCAAGCTGTCCTTGCTGGTCACGGTGAGGCCCAGAGTTCCATTCTAAGACAGACACAGGTTTGAGGACTGACTGCTCATTCTTGGTCATGGAGTTGGGACACATCACTGCAGCTCTGCTAGCCTCAGTTTTCCATCTACTCAAGAGGAAAGAACAGTTCCTTTCCCAGCTTATTGTGAGGATTAAATTAAAATAAGGTATTGGAGGAAGGGGCCAGATAGTAAAAAAACAAATCTAGCAGTGGGTGAACAGAGGCTGGGAACAGCAGTGTGGCTTTTTAAAGCTTTGGTGAAGCAGCGAAGTGAAATGGTGCTGCCAGGGCCAGGGCAGGATTTCTCCCACAGACCACAACTTTGTTGACTGCTCTTGCCTGAGACACTCAGAGGATGTCACCAATATA